TATATATATATATATATAGCTCTTCTTCGTTTGCAAGATAAGATTTTCATTTATGATATCATTTGAATCTTCTTGAAATTTAGCATTCTCTACGATGATTTTTTCTTCCAGATAATATTGATTATCAATTTCCTGCGGCCATTTGATCCTGTTAAACCGCACTCATCCATCCGGTCCAATTTATCTTAATGGAGTATAAGAATCAAAGAAAAGTCTTTTGAAATTTATGATGTCAAACATGTCATAATACGTGCATCCGTAAGACATTAACACTTGTGTTCTTAAATCATAGCACTTGTGTGATTATAAAAATTTCTAATTAATAAAAACATGAAAAGTTTAAAGTTTAAGTTAAATTGTTTTACAATTGAAAGGTTGTACTATTCACAGTTCACAAATTGACGGTAGTAAGAGACGTATATGCTTGTATACATAGAGACGTAATCGGGATAGGATCTCTTGATAAATCAATTATGCATTACAGTGCATCTATTGATCTGATAGAAATATAAATATTTATTAGTACTTCAATCTGCTTAAATAGTATGATCAAGTACAGCTCAACAAGCTGGGTGCTAGCAACAAAGTGGCAAGAAATACAGGAGGAGTTTTTCTATATATGCTCGGTACCTTGTTTAGCAGAACGTGTAAGGAGGTCCTTATTTTTCAAATAATAAAAAAGAAAACTTATTTTGAGAGTTATGGTGCTTGACCAAACCTTTGAAAAATAAGTATTTTAAAGTAGTAGCAGAAGCTTTGTTTTTCCATTGCAGGGAATAGCTGGAAAAATAGCTTTTCCTTTGAAGCATAAGCAGATGTTGATTTTAACTTTTTTAGGATAACATATTCTTAATAAAAATTTATATTTATAAAAAAATTCGTATAAGTTATTTATACTTAATAACATGATTAAAGTCTCAACTATTACATAATTTTTCTATTTAATTGTGACACTTAAAATCAACTTTACAAATAGTGATAAAACAAAATTGCTTCTTAGTATTAACAAATGTGATTTTTAAATAATTTTTCAAACACAAATTGCTAATATTTCCANTGTGTGATGTCTAATTTTTCGCTTAAACTGATAATGGAAGGACCTGGTTCTTCAATGTGTTCCTCATACTGCTGTTGCGAAATAATAAATGCAGAAAGTAAAGAACACAAGTATATTTACGTGGAAAACACCCAGCTCAAAAGGTGAAAAAAACCACGACCTACTACTTAGTAGGATTTTCTCCAACACTTCACTAAATCACTGAACCAAAACATCATTTACAAAACTCTTTGTAAACCTAAGGATTACCTCTAATCCCGTTGTAGCACACAACCTCTAACTGTTGCGACAACTTCAAGTTAACTCTACCTTGAAAACTCTGAGTACCTATTACAATTGCCTCTAGATAAAGCTGAAAGGTACAATGTGAAAACACCTACTACGATTGAACTAGAATAAAAGATAGACACTTGGAACTAGTTCTTCTATCTGGTTCACGTAGCTTCAGGTTTGCACAATTGAATCACATACGAACTGCTTGCGAAATTGCCTTGCTATTTTGCTCTCAATTAACGTTTAACTTCTACGTTTGTGCAACACCTGGAATGTGAGAACATCCTGCAAGTTATAGAGCTAGTAGATGAAGAAATAACTAGAGTTCTAATGTTACTCTTCCTTGGAGGAAGAGTTCTAGTAGATTTCAACTTCTAACTCCTTCCTTATCTTGGATAATGTTCTCCTTGAGTAAGGAGTCCTTCTACTTATCAATTATGCAACCTTTTCGATTAGGAGATATTAAATACACTAAGTTAAACTTATCTCCTTCACGTGAATCCCACATGCTCAAATTTGCCCGTTTTTGTGCACCTGAGGGATGGACCTGGTTCATGCTTGAGTTCCTTTGTCAGTCTTCAAAACTAACCTTTACTTGGGCCAACAAATTTCCCCTTTTTGATGATGACAAACTCTGTGCTTTTCATAAGCTTAGGCCCTGTTTCAACTCAGCTCAACATCAATACAATGTTTAAATATTTTTCCTTTTATCACTTATCATCAAGGACCAGGTACATTAGGTTATAAACATCACTTGCTCAAAGTGTAAAACGTGTAAAGCACAACCTTTTCCCCCCCTTTTGGCATCATCAAAAAGTTGCATAAAAATGTGAGATAACTAGATTTTAAAGCTTACGCATGGCCACTGGGGCTAATTCAAATGCAATGATGGATTAATC